CCCCAAAACCCCAAAACCCCAAAACCCCAAAACCCCGTTAATTATTTAATTAATAGAAAATGTAGGACTAATAATTAGATGCAACAAAACAGAGATTGAGTTTATTTATTATGGCACAAAATGAGCCACTTTGGACTTACCTTTGCTTTATTTTCTCCAGCTTAGATGTTATAGCAAATTTTGCATATAATTATCTATTGTAGTCATTTCTGAGTTTAAGGGTTGACATAGACAGATTTTTTGAAAAGTATGATAAGCATTGATACAGAGCAAATTGTAAAACCTTTCATCTAGTCTCTGAGTTCTTACTAAGAGTAAAGGTAAAATTTTTATCCTAGTCAGGGACTATATCTTGAAATTTTTGAGAGGATTTGGATTCGAAGTGCATTCATCGATTATAATTTATCTCAGCTATTGGCAAAGTATCCATCCTATGTAAAATTTATAGCTAGATCAACCTTTAGAATCCTAGAAATCTTTAACTCTTTATCCTTAATGTGACTACCAGTTTCCATATTTGCAAATTTATCGGAATTCGGACTATTTCTCCCCTTTTTCACCATCAAATTTTTTTAATTCTGTCAACATCTAGTGATTGCTTTCTAAAATCTTCTGATTTGAAATCAGAATTATCTTCCTAGAATCTGGCTATCTGTTATCTTTGCGCTGAAATGCTCCCATTTTTACTTAATGGATTCTCCCCAAAAATTCTAATGCAATTATTTCTTAGATCTTATATCAGAGAGTCTATGATTCAATTCTATTGATAATTCATGAGTCAGATATTAAATCTAATTTGATATAAATCCTAGTTTTCTCTCCAAAACTTCATTAGAATGAATACTTCAGTCCATCCCATTTAAATACGCTCACTTCTAACCGATCCCTTAAAGAACATACATCACAAAGATGCCTAAAAAATCCCTCCTAAAATCTCACAACAACAATACCCTCCTCATCAAAACCTCAAAAATCCCAATCTCCCCCACCACAACCCCTCTCCCACCAACCCCCAAACCCCCTCCAAACTCACCCAAAAATCCCCTTCCCTTAAACTTCCCATTCAAAATTCCAAAATTCCACGACCAGCTTACTTTACTCTACGTTCAAAATAAAATTTAGCCACTGAAAACCCAGTGTTTTAGGAACAGACAGGGAAAGAAGGAAGAGTTTGGGTGGGCAAGGGAATTGTGGGGGAATAGTGGGTGAAGAGGGAGATTTTAGGGGAATTTAGGAATTTTAGATTTTGTGAGGGTTTTTGGGGTATGAATTAGTAGCAGAATTCTGAGTTGTCGGAGTAGTCTGATTCGGAGATATTGGCTCCACTTTCGAGTTTTATTTTACTGGTGAGTCCTTTTTCTTTTTGTCTTCCTGTGAGTTCTTTAAGGAGCATTTTTAAGCAGGTAGAAATACTTTTTGAATGGGATTTTAAGGGAGTTTCGATTTTGATTTTTTGTTGGAAGTTGTAAGCACCCCAAAGAAGTAAACTGCAGAAGCGTTGCTTAGATCTCTCTGCACTTCTATCATCTGTAAATACTGAAATTCTAGTCCAGTTTGATCCAAGTTCTTGATAAAGTTGGAGAAGGTTCTGGTCTTCCTGTGTAGTCCACTCAGTTCCTTCTCCTGAAGGTAGAGAGTCTATGTGCTTAAGGAAGTCGTCACGTGATAATCCTTCAGGAAGAGTTTTGAAAGCATTAGCTCTGGTTTCATCTAAAGAATTTGAAAGAAGGTTATCAGCTTCATGCTTGAATTCTTCTTTTACAAGGCCTTTCTTGCTTGTCTTATGTATATTTTGGATAGTATCAATTGCATCATAAGTATCTTCAACTTTAATTCTCTTATTTTGGGACTTAGCTTGCGCTTTGAATTCTCTTTTTCTTTCCAGTTTACATGTATCTTCATTAAATTGGCAATCAATGCCAAGGTATACTTTGGATGCTATTTCCTTTATTTTACTTATTTGCTTTTGAACATCTCTTTTCTTTCTCTTGACATCCAGAGATTTCAAGATTAACTCAACATTAGTTGAGGCAATGTCAAAGACTTTTTCAAAGAGCTGAGTCTTTTCTGAATCATCCCATTGACCTTGGACATAAGTTGAGTTCAGTTTGTCCCATCTATAGTACAATGATTTAGCATTTCTATCTTTAAAATACTTTGACAATTTGATCATCGGTACATCAGGATATTTCTGCTTTAACTCAACCAGTAGTTTGTCTTCTTCTGGAGTAAACTTCATTTTGGTCAAAAATTATTTGTCTAGGATTGATTATGGTAAGGCTCTAAATTTAAGAAGCCTTATCTCTTCTTTCTCTTCAACATCTTTCATTATTCACATTCCTCTATTATTTCATATCATTTTTTTTAATAAAAAATTCTAATAATAAATTTCCCCCAAATCCAAAATAACACAACATTCTTGCTAACCCAACCCCTCATTCTCTTTCTAAAACATAACATCAGCCCTACTATCCCTAAAAATCCATGACCTTAACCCCCACCCTCTTATCCCCTCCACCCACCAGTTCATCCCCTCTCCCACTACTAAGCTAGGTCATCCCAAAAGGACTGTACTAAGCTGGATAAAAGCCGATTAAGAAGTCAATTTAAGAGAGACACTGAAAAACAGGGTTTTTTGGTGGAAATTGGAAGAAATTTTAGAGAAAGTGTAGGGGCTTTTGGGGCTTTTGGGGGGTTTTATGGAGGAAATTGTAGGGAGGTGGGGGTTAGGGGGTTTTGGGGTGTTTTGGGTAGGGAGTAGGAAGAAGAGGGGTAAATTTTTAAATAAAATAGGCCTAATTTTAGAGTAACTAGTTGATTAATGCGATAATTATGCGTTATGTAATTGATATTTTGCTCAAATCTAGTCATTGGAAGTATCTGAATCTGATGCTGTCCTTGTTTTTGTAAAATTGAATCAATCTCTTTTATGAATTTTTGTTTTCTCTTTGTCTAATTGTATCAACAGAGCCTCCACACAGTAAGCAATATCTACATCTCTTGATTCCAAGGGATCTTCAGGATTAATCTTCTGTTCTGATCAATAAGCACACCAGCGGATCAAATCACAGAATCGATGCTTTACTTCTTCTTCACTCTTAAAATCAGTTGATAAGGAGATGCATGGCCAATTTGGACCAAAAGATTGGTACAGTTGGAGCAAATTATAATCCTCTTGGACAGTCCATTGAGAAGTTTGATAGTCTTTTATTGAAGGAAGTGAGTTAATTTGAGACAAAAATTCCTTTCTTGATAAACCTTGGGGAAGATCAAAAGAAGAGCTTTGCTTCGTTTCATTATTACAAAATGTGTCAAATTCCAAATCAGCAGGGAATTTTGTTGCCAGAGAAAATCTATCTTTTACCTCTCCTTTCACAACGGTATCTTTATTTCTAAATCTTATATTTTTATTATTATCTATAATATCATAAGTGTCTTCAGACTTTAGTCTTTTGTGGTCTTTCTTTACTTTTACCTTATGCTCCCTTTTTCTTTTCTTCTCAGGCTTAATTCCGTCCATTTTGACTTCGTAATCTGGTCCCAGATATCCAGCGGTTGCAATCTCCTTGACTTTGTAAACTTGCTTGTAAATATCTTTTTTGTATCTCTGGATATCCAGAGATTGAGAAATGGTCTCGATATTGGCAGATATAACATCAAACATTGTGTTGAAGAGCTGAACTTTTTCGGATTGATCCCACTGCCCTTTAGAGAATGATGGGTTTATTTTGTTCCATCTTTGATACAGAGAAGTCACTCATCTTTGATCAAAGTGCTTTCATAGTGTGCTCATTGAAGCATCTGGATATTTCTGTTTCAACTCAATGAGTAGTTCGTCTTCTTCCGGAGTAAATTTCATTTGTTACTTTGATAATAATTTAGTGGATTTATTGGTAAGATCCAAATTTTAAAACCTTTGATAGTATTAGTATTTTTGTTGATACTAATTTTTCTTTCTTGTTGGACTTATTCAATAATAGTATTTAATTCCCCCAAATTCTAAGAATTTTAAAGGTAGTTTTTTCTGAATTTCTAGTGAGATAAATTATTTAATTTCAAACACAAAGCTGTATAAATTCATACTTAGCATGCTTTATATACTCTATCTAAATTTTGCAACAACCTATCAAAATCCAAAAATACACCACACACACTTCTCTAAATCTATCAAATCATCCAAACATTCCAAACCACATTTCTCACCAAATATACTCCAATCCATCACAAAATCCCACTTAAATCCAACCAACATCCACTGCCCAAAACCCAGTCCCAACCAGTCTCCCCCTCCACTTCACCCCGCCTATCAACTATCCCCACTCTGTATTACTTCCCCTACACCAGAAGAAAACTCTCCCTTCACAACCCCCATCTTTAGTCATCCTTAAAACAGAAACGCAAAATGTAACCGAAGGCTTTAAATTAGAGAAGACAGTTGTAATGTCAGACTGGAAAATTAGGAATTTGACTGTAGATGGAGCAGTGGGTAGTGAGAATGGGATTTTAGAATAATTGTGGTAAGGGAGAGGAGTTGAAAAATAAGTGGAAATGGGGTTTTGGAAAAATGAAATTTTTATGATTTAGGAGGAATATGGTGAATATAGGAAAATTTAATGGAAGGTTTAAGAAGAATTATAAGCGGAGGTATTAAATTAGTAAGAGAATTCTGATCCGCCTGAGTCATCTGAGTCTGATATGTTAGCTCAGCTCTCGAATTTTATTTTGCTAGCCAGTTCCTTTGATCTACCTTCTACCCTGATATCTTCTTTAAGTAGAGTCTTGATGCATTTAGCTATTCTGGAGGGTTTTGTTTTTAAGGGAAATTTTATGTCAACTTTTTGACCAAACTTGTAAGATCCCCAGGAGAGTAAATTACAAAAGTGCTTTTCCACTTGCTGTGCATTTCTTCCGTCTGTACTTAAGGAAATTCTAGACCAATCAGGGCCTATATTTTGATATAGTTTAAGAATTCCTGAGTCTTCTTCAAAAGTATACTTCTGATCTCCTTTGGAGATATCATCTAGAAGATGAAAAATTCATCACGAGTCAGATCTTTTTTTAAATGAGGAAAGGATTGATCTCCCCTTTCATTCGCATATGACTTACTATCCTCTGAATCACTTGATCGATAGTTTGAAGAATCCTCGTTATACTTTGATTCTTTTTTAACTAGCCTCTTATTAATATCTTTTTGAATATTATGTATCTGACCAATAGCATCATAAGTTTCTTCAAGTTTCATTCTCTTATACAACTCCTTAGTATCAGCTTTAGACTCTCTCTTCTTCTCAGGTTTTACTCTATCTGCTTTAACTTCATAGTTAGGACCAAGGTATGCTCCTCCAGCTGCCTTCTTAAACACATTAATCTGCTTATTAACATCGACTTTCTGTCTCCTAGTATCCAAAGATTTCTTTATCTGGTCAATGCTGGCATTAATAACATCAAATATTTTCTCAAAAAGCTGGAACTTTTCATGCTGCTCCCATTTTCCTTGGGTGAAGGATGGGTTAATCTTGTTCCATCTCTGTTGGATACCTCTTAAGGTCCTCCCTTCAAAGAATTTGACCATTGTTTTCATGTGAGAGTCAGGGTTTTGTTGTTTCAATTTGACGAGCAGATTGTCTTCCTCTTTAGTCCACTTTTTTATACTCATTTGGTTTTTCGAAAATTTTAGAGATTGTAATTTTGGTGGTTCTGCCAAATTTTAAGAAGCCTTTTAGTGATATTTATTTGATAATATTTTGGAGGGTATGGAATTTGGCAAAGTTTTATGGATTAGGAAAAATTTTGAGAATTTTCGATTTTATTCTTACCAACTTGCAACATTTGAAATAGGAGATAGTATAAATGGTGAGGGGGAATTTCAAGTAAATGAATATTACACATTTTTTCTTAAATTTTAGGAGAGTAACCAAGAATGCTTCTGTATCATTCTTTAAAAGAGTGAGCTGGTAATCAGAATGAATATGTAAGCTGCATCACGATAGATTAGAAGATAAGAGTGTTGTTTTAAATATTAATTAATAAGAAAATTCTGAACTTTCTGATTTATAAGAGCTTTCAGATTCTGATATGTTTCCTCAGCTTTCAAATTTCACCTTACTCATCAATCCTTTTGTTTTATTTTTCTTTTCAATCAATTCCTTTAGTAACACTTGGACTCATTCGTCAATATCTGACTTCCTCGAGTTCAATGGGTCTTCTGCACATATCTGCCGTTGGTAGTTGTAGGCACCCCAGCTGAGTAAACTGCAGAAGCGTTGCTTGACTTGCTCTGCATTTCTACCATCTGTAAATACTGAAATTTGTGTCCATGAGGGTCCAAGCTGTTGGTAAAGCTGGAGGAGTTTTTGATCTTCTTGAGCTATCCATTTGTCTTCATCGGCTGAAGGCAATGAGTTTATACGATGGAGGAATTCCTCCCTACAGAGTCCTTTTGGTATATTTAAAAGATTATTTTGAGTACTGTTTATAGATTTAATTCCTCCACATATTCGGTATATAGGTTTATCATCTTTAAATTCTCCCAGATTCTTTTCCTCTTTTTTAATCAAGGTTATCCCATTTCTTCTCTGTATGTTTTGAATATTCTCTATCGTATTGTAAGTATCTTCAAATTTGAGGATCTTTTGAGATGACTTTATTTCAGCTTTTGATTCTCTTTTTCTCTCTGGTTTAATCTTGGTCTTTCCAATTTTATAATCTACTCCAAGATATCCAAAGGCAGCTAATTCCTTAATTCTGTATATCTGCTGCTTGACATCTGCTTTATGTCTTTGAGTATCCAATGCTTGCCTTATAAGATGATTATTGGCAGATACAACTTCAAATACCTTCTCAAAAAGCTGAACCTTCTCATACTGGTCCCATTTACCTTGAGCAAACAAAGGATTTATCTTAGCCCACCTATGCTCTATCCCTTTCACAGTCCTCCCTTTAAAAAACTTGACAAAGTACTTCTTCTGAGCCCCAGGGTTCTGCTGCTTAAGTTTGATCAGAAGTTCATCTTCCTGCTCAGTCCATTTGTTCATTCCCATTTTTGACGGAATTTTAGCAAGCACTTCGCAATTTATAGCTTAAATTATAGAACTTTTATTAAAAGGTTTTGGAACTGTTCACAAAGAAATAGCAAGGGAAGTTCAGAATTTTATACTATTTCGCTGGATCAATTTTTGGTATGGCTCAGAGGGGAAATTTTGTTGAGGCTAATTTTTTGTGCAGGAATTGTAGCCTGATGAGGGATGTTGGAAAGGGGTTTAGAGGGGATTGGGAAACCTTGGTATAGATTAAAAACGTATTTGGAGAGATTGTTTGGTAGTGGTTTTGGCAAAAGATTTCTGAGGTTTAAGGGAGTAATCCGTTTGGATAAAAAGTTTTGGATAGACAGATATGAAAACTCAGAATCCCCTGAATCATCTGATTCGGATATGTTTGCTCAAGTTTCAAATTTTACTTTGCTACAAAGTTTTTGGCCATTATTTTTTTGTCCAGGTAATTCTTTTATTAGTGATTTAACTCACTCAGCAATATCTGAAGGTCTCGATCTTAATGGATCCTCTGCATGAATCTGTTTTTGATAGCTATAAGCACCCCAACTAAGCAAATTTCTAAAACGTTGCTTAACATGCTCTGCACTTTTATCATCTGTAAACACTGAAATTCTTGTCCAGTTCGCTCCAAGTTCTTGATAAAGTTTCAGAATATTTTGATCTTCTTGAAATGTCCACTCATCTCCATCAGCTAAAGGGAGTGAACTCACACGTTGTAAAAACTCATTTCTCGTAAGCCCAGTCGGAAACTCCGGGAACCTATTTCTATCCATGCTCTCAACACCACATCTCCCCTGCTCACTTCCTTTACACTCTTCCTTGACAACTCTCTTCTTTATCCCTCTATCATCCCTCTTCACAAACTCTTCACCATCCTTAACTCTCTTACATTCTGTTGCTGCAGTCTCCCCCTCCTTATTCCTCCCCCTCTTCCTTTCCCCCTTGAGCTTGTACTCACATCCCAGATACCCTCTCGCAGCCACCTCCCTTATCTTCCCTACCTGCTTGGTCACATCAGCCTTATGCCTCTTCACCCCCAATGTCTCCGCAATCTGTTCAGCACTAGTAACAACAATATCAAAAACCTTATCAAACAACTCTTGCTTGTCAGCCTGAGTCCACTGACTTCTGGAGAAGGAAGGGTCTATCTTACTCCATCTGTTGCACAGGGCACTACAAGAACGGTTTTGAAAGTGCTTGCGAAGGGATTCCCAAGAAGCAGAGGGGTTTTGGGATTTTAGGTGAATCAGAAGATCAGATTCTTGTTGGGTCCACTTTTTCATACTTTTTTTGGAAAGGTGAGTGAGGAGGAGGGGTTTTGGGTGAAATTTTGGAGGAAATATGGGTTTTTGAGGATTTTAGGGTGAAATTTGAGTTTTTAAGGCGGGTTTTGAGCTGGAGGGTGGTTTAGGGGATATGACTTTAGAAATTTGAAATAAATTTTCGGTCTGAATGCCGTTTGATTAATAAAGTTTATAATAGATATATTTTAATGAGCTAACACTCTTGTCTAGTCTTAAAACTCTTCTTGGCTAAATTCATTAATACTTGTTAGTAGACCTTAATTTGAACTAATTGAAACCTCAAATTGTATAGTTTTTTACCTTTGAAAGTACTTATAGAGTCTATTTATTGGATAAAAATCTCTCATCTCTATCCAACAAAATTTTTCATTAAAGGATGTGAAATCTAAAATCAAAAACTAACAATGACAACATTTGTTTCGCTTATTGATGAATTAAGTTTTGTTAATAAGAAAATTCTGACCCTCCTGAGTCATCTGTATCTGATATGTTTGCTCCACATTCGAACTTTACTTTACTAGTAAGCCCTTTACCTTTATCCTTCTCTTGAGTTATTTCATGTAATATGGTAATTACTCAGCTTTTAATTGCATCTTTTCTTGACTTTAAAGGGGCTTTAGGAAGAATTTGAGACTGAGAACTATAAGCTCCCCAACGGAGTAAACTACACAAGCGTTGTTTAACTTGCTCTACATTTTCAAGCTCCACTCACTGAAGTACATTATTCAAGTCTGGTCCAACATCGTCATAAGCTTCAAGGAGGTCATAATCATCTTGGTCAGTCCATTTTTCCTTAATAACTGGATATAAAGGACACGTACGCTCAAGGAACTCTTTCCGGGGAAGATCGGGTGGTAAATCGTTAAACTTCTCAATACCGTAGCTCTTGTTTCTATTCTCTGTGCTTTCTAAAGTTTCTGATAGACAGCTTTGAGTTTGTAAATCTTCCTCGGTCTCATCTTTAACAAGACCTAGTCTTTTCCTTTTATGCTTCTTTTGAATGTCACCTATTATATCAAGACAGTCCTGTATTTCCTTTTTATTGACCTCTTGCTTAACTCTCGCTTTGCTTTCTCTTTTACAGCTTATCTTCTTCAGAGGTGGTTTATACTTTTCTGCTTTAATTTTGTAGTCCGGACCAAGATATCCTTGGGCAGCTGATTGTTTAAGTTTGTGGGCTTCTTTTATGACATCCGATTTTTGACGCCTTTCCTCTAGTTTTAGAGATAATTTATCAATATTATCATTCACGAGATCAAATATTTGTTCAAAAAGGGTTTCTTTCTCTGTATCCGACCATCGGCCTCTGATGTAAGTAGGATTTATTTTAAGCCATCTCATCTTGAGGGAATTTAGAGTTCTTCCTTTGAAGAAGCTTAAAAACTCCCTCATTGGAGTGTCAGGGTTATCTTTTCTAAGTTTAATAAATAATTCATCTTCTTTTTTCGTCCAAGCAGGCATTTTCAACGTTTTTGGTGTATGTTGGGGTTTTGGGGTTTTGGGGTTTTGGGG